ATTCCTAAACAAGTTTGGTTCAAGTTTTGGTGTATAAGAGGTACTTGACCTTGAGGTGTGGGGGTGTGGGGAGGGGTGTGTGGGGGGTATGTAGTGGGTGGGTGTATGGGGAGGGGTGTGTCATATGGATATTCATAAACGCATAAAGAAAGTTATAGTCCTTTCCAACACACACACACACACACTAACACACACACACACACACACACACACACACACGCGCGCGAGTACATTTACAGTCCGTCACCAACCACTCAATCACCAACCACCCAATCTTCAACCATCCCTAACTATCAACACCCTCAATATTTAAACCCCACCTTAATCACCCAATCACTTAATCACCCAATCACTCAATCACCCAGTCTCTTCTCAACTTCTGGCTCAAACTTTCAAACTATTAGCATAATTTTTTAGCACTGGCTGCAAACTTCCCCTCGCAGACTTGCCTCGGCTACTTGATCACGCTCAATTAACTGCGGGAGGGAAGAGACAGGTAAAGACTCTACCCACCAGGTGAATGAGAGACTGAGAGAGACGGTGAGAGATGGGAGAGACTGTGAGAGATGAGAGACACAAGATACGAAAAGGTCTCTTAAGATTGGTGAGACCGCCAGGATAAGTTCCCACCTCCCGAACACCCGGCACGAGAGTCAATACTGGAACGACAAATGAACAAATACAATTGATTATTCTCTTTGTCTCTTTGTCTTTCCTCTCGCTCTCTCTTTCTTTCTCTCTTTCTTTTTTGGTGGGGAGGAGGAGAAGGGCAAGGAGAGGAGGAGGGGTAGAAGAGGAGGCCAAGGAGAAGCAGAGGTAGGGAGGAGGGGAGGAGGATAGAGGGAAGAATAGGAGAAGGGGAGGAGGGAAAGGGGGCTATAGGAAGGGAGGGAGATCAGGGAGAGGGAGGGAGGTCAGGGAGGGAGGTCAGGGAGAGGGAGGGAGGTCAGGGAGGGAGGTCAGGGAGAGGGAGCGTTTGTTGGACATATTACTATCAATCAAAGGGAATTATTATCCTTCTCGTCAGTCATAAAAAAATAAAAGCTAGTTTGTGTTTCAGTCTTTTTATTTATTTATTTATTTTTACTTGTCCCAGAACTCTCCATTGCAATTAGGGAATTAATCTTTTTTATTCTCTGTGTTTTGTCTGCCAATTAAGTCAAGGCGGGTGTGGCTTTTTGTTATTGTTTTTACCTCGTTATGGTCAGGGAAGGAAATGAAAACAAAAACCCTCTGTATGTTTGAGGGTAGGAGGCAGCTACCAAACAGGGAGGTACTACCGCCTGGGAAGATATTGGAAGCATAATGTGTTGACTAATGGTAGACCCTGCTGCCATATGTGACCAAGTCCCAGGTTGCTGATCTGACTTTCTGCCTCATTTACACACAATTGCAGGGTCTCAATTGTTTCTTTTACTTTGACAACACAACATACATATATTGTTTCTCAATCTTGATCTTTGTTTTCATTTTTTATTATATTTTCGCCCCCAAGCCTCCCTGAAAAAATAAAAATAAATATTTAAATCCTTAATACCCCGGGGAAAAAACAGCTATGGCTTTATACATCTGAAACTAAAGGGAAAAGACTGGTTCTTAATTTCTTTGATGTCCTGAGATTTTTTTAAGTCCTGAAAAAAAAAACCACCAATGAAAAAAATTCGTTTCATTGTTTTCTTTTAACAACAAAAGGAGAAAATCTTTTCTCACCCCACAACAATGACCTCTCTTCTCCTCCTCCCCTTCCCCCATCAATGACCTCTCTTCTCCTCCTCCCCTTCCCCCATCAATGACCTCTCTTCTCCTCCTCCCCTTCCCCCATCAATGACCTCTCTTCTCCTCCTCCCCTTCCCCCATCACACATCAACAGGCTAGAGAGAGACTTTAACAACACGCTGTTTTATCTTTCTAGAACGTTGAATACATCCTTTGGCCCACGACACAATACCCCCAATATCTTTATTTAGAGGATCATTGTAGTTATTTTATTCACCATCGTATATTACTTTTATTTGGGGTTTGTATTTGTTATTTTATTCAGGGTTTCGATTTACGGCTGTATCGAAAAAGGACGTTATTTGAGTGTGTGTGTATATCCTTGCATGTGCAATTTTATTTCTGTACATTTACAATGCGGTCTGTACAGTATTTCATTCTCGAAATTGCATCACATTTTCCTATTTATATATATATTTTTAATGAATTCTTGTGTCTGACTTTGTTATTTTCACTGTTTGTTTGTATATATATATATTTTTTTTTCATGTTAAATTTTGTAAAGTTTTCGGCACGTGTTTTTGGTTGGGTTAAATGTTGTAGTTTTCGATGTTTGTTTTTTTGTGTTAAATGCAGCTATGATGTTAAAAGTAAAAAAAGAAGTATATGGTTATCCTTATAGTATGTGTGCCGTGGCTGAGTGGATACAGAACTGGTATCCTGTCCTAAGGGTTGCTGGTTCCTCCGTCAGTCAGTGTATGTGTCAGCCCGCTGGTTCGTCCGTCAGTATTTTAACACAGATGTAATTATAACCATGTATAATTACAGTTATAAGGTAAACTAATTACAGGTATAGATGCAGGTGTAATTATGAGTACAGGTGTAATTACAGTTATAGATAGACATGTAGAGGAACAATTACATTTACAGAAACAGGTGTAATGAAAGGGCAGGTGCAACTTTGAGTACTATCATTAAAAATTACAAAATCTATAACAGTACATTGACATTAATAATAATCATCGTCTCTCGCTTAGATGTTAGTGCCTCGTTTAAGTACAGGTACAGGAAATACAGAATTACAAGAATACATGATTATTAAGGGGGGTTTTATCATACTCAAAAGGTGTAGTCATTGTACTCAAGGGGCTAAGTCATCATACTAAAGAGGGTAAGTCATCATACTAAAGAGGTTAAAACATCGTACTAAAGAGGTTCAACAAAATAATACAGGAATACATAACGAAAGTACATGAATATTCCCCCGGATCAACGTACACACACACACTGCCACTTTACGCTATCTAGTACATAAAAAAGACTACAGTCATTTATTTATTTCTCTCGTATTAAAACTGTAGACCAAGTGGCTATCTTTGTGTCATCAGTACTGGTAATTGTACGTTTTACCTCTGTGCGTCACGAAAGGAGGGGGGAGGGAGAGGGAAGGAGAGGGAAGGAAGGAAGGAAGGAGAGGGAATGAAGGAAGGAAGGAAGGAGAGGGAATGAAGGAAGGAAGGAGGACACAGGTTAAAATTCACAAAAGGGTTCAGGGATGCCAACAAATCCTTACTATGATACAGTGTTACCAACTCAGTAGCCCGACCACTGTAGCCCCGAGCACCGCCACAGACACATCTAGAGGAACGTATAGTGAAATAGGACCAAATACTCAATCTTAGCACTAAAGAAGACACAGAATTTGAAGAGGAGGAAGGGGAAGAGGAGGAGGAAGAGGGGGGAGGAGGAGGAGAGATAGTATCAGTCTCTACGTGAATGTAATAACTTGGGAGGGAGGGGAGGAAGGGGAGTGGGAGGGGAGAGGAAGGGAAGGAGGGGGAGAGGAAGGGAAGGGAGGAAGGAGTGTGTCGTGAGTGACTGTCCAAGTTAGATGTAATTTACTCGGGGACTCTAGCTAAAATTGCACCCCTCCCTTCTACCTCCTCCCCCTCTCCCCACTGCCACCTTACTATTCGTTAATCATTACTAGAAAATTACCTTTAATATAATATGAGGTCTTCTCTCACTCTGTATTTACCCTTTATCATCACGTATCATTTCATATACCTTTCACAACCTCTACATTATTCTTATTAATTCTATCACATTTAAACTGAATAATCATTAAACAGAATTCAAACTTCCTTCTCCCCCCCCCAAAAAAAAAATTATGCTCGAAATCCGAAGAAATCTGCCTCGTGTGAATCGACCATTAAGTGGGTTCAGATTTCACGAGCTTTAAAGGGAACGAAAATAATGACTTGGCTTAATCCGATCAATTAGCGTCCCAAGAGGTTGTTATTGGGTGTTGGATCAGTTGGTTAATGGCCAGTGTGAGATGATGATATGCCGCTAAAAACTAACAATTATTTATTTATTTTTCTTCACTAGATTGTGTTAAGTGAATACTGTGTTTGGGGATTATGTGAGGAATAATTACCACACACACACACACACACACACACACACACACACACACACACACACACACACACACACACACACACACACACACACACACACACACACACACATACACACACACACACACACACACACACACACACACACACACACACACACACACACACACACACACACACACACACACACACACACACACACACACACACACACCAGCTATTAACTACCTTAAAGCTATCGTGACCTCTCCTAACCTAACCCCCAGACATACACACTAGCTATTTTTACCTTATGATTAACTACCTTAACACTTACCTTACCTTACCTTACCTTACCTTACCTTACCTTACCTTACCTTACCTTACCTTACCTTACCTTACCTTACCTTACCTTATCTTACCTTACTAATTTAACCTGATCTAACCCCTAGGTAGCGTTACGTTAAGTAATCATCAGGTGATATAAACTGGGGTGGCTAATCTTCAGGTGATATGTAAAAATTAATTAAATTGTAAAGTATCTGAGGAAGTGTTGGATTAATTTTAGTGTTAAGTTTCTTTAGACGTGTGCAGGTAATTGATCTTTTGGCTTCCTTCTCCTGTTTCACTATTTACTTTGTCTTCTTCTATACCTTTGTCTTACTCTTTTTTCCCTTTATTCTTCCTCATCTTTCTCTTCCCTTATTTTTTTATCCTACTTTCTCTTTACACTTTCTCTTCAACTCCTCCATTCTGTTGTTTACCTTCATCCCAGCCTCTCCTCTTCCCTCCATATCTGACACCTGTACTCTCTCTTCCACACGTGAAACACTTTTCCACTCTCCCCTACACCTGACACTCCCCCAACAGGTGTATACTCACCCCACATGAGCAGCAGCAGGTGTGCCGATCGCGTGAACACCATCGTCGTGGGCGGCGGTGTCTGGCAACCCTGCCAAGTAAACAAGAACTTTTGTTGATATATTGAAGGAAGGTCTTGGGAACATTGTTGTCAGCTGTCGAGATTTACTGATGGTCGATGCTAGGTGTTCCACTCTCCTCAGTGTGGAACATGCAGTGTGTATATATATATATATATATATATATATATATATATATATATATATATATATATATATATATATATATATATATATATATATATATATTTATACATGCACAAAAGGATAGAATGTCATATTATATGCTGTATATTATTCTGACAGCCCCGTCACGTTATTCAAACATGTCACAACAATTTATAAACGAACCTTCCTGCGAGTAGTTCATTTACGTGTATGCTTTTGTCTGGCTTCAGGGTTATACAAATGACAGACAGACAGACAGGCAGGCGGACAGCTGGCAACTAGAGGGAATGACCAGCTGTTAATATTGACTCCACCACAAACTACGTAACACACAGATAATCTTGTGAGATTAAATAGTAATTATGTGGTAAAGGTGAGAGCTGCTGCTGTGAGTCGAGGCTCAGCACTATCATTTAACTGAGTCATTGTCCTCTCATAATGGTTTGGACACGAGTAGGAAATATATCATAGGAATATATTATTGTATGGCTTACGACTGTATATTTCGTGATGTTTATTTTAATATCAGTATAAATACTATCAAAAGAAATATATTGGAAATGTGTTACTTTATGGCAATATTTCGAATTAATGTTAATGCTGATGCTCACATAAATCACACACACACACACACACATATAATCGCACAATAATAAAAAAATATTAATTCTAATTTCAATATTTTATGAGTGAAAATATTAATAACACTTAAAAATATAATAATAATAACAATAACAATGATAATAATAATAACAATAATAATAATAATAATAATAATAATAATAATAATAATAATAATAACAATAATAATAATAATAAATAATAATAATAATAATAATAATAATAATAATAATAAAATAATAATAATAATAATAATAATGATAATAATAATAATAATAATGAAACGGCTGGTTAATTCCCAATTAACCAGGTTGGTTCACATATATTATATTGAGCTTTAGTAACGAAACCCAATTGAAGTTTCTTGTTTTATTAGAAAAGTATTATGTTTATATAATTCCTGAGTGTAGGTCAACCGTAAGCTCCAATATTTATGAGTGTGATGAGAAAGGGACGGCGTTTATGTATATAAACGTGAATCAACGTCCGTTTGATATTAGTTGGTGTGAGTGACTTTGAGTAGTGACCCATCGAGGGAGAACGGAATAGGTACGTCGTTCCCCCGTCGTCCCCCCCTCGAGGGAAGACGGAGCCATCCACTGTGGCTCTCAAATAACGTCTTCCTCTAGTCAAGGATATGAAGCTACTGCCCGCTTTAGGTAGCCAGGAGCCGGCTACTTTATGCCTTTACTCAGCATAGTATGACGCAGCTTCCTGTGGGCACACCTTATCACGTGCATTGAACATGTCACCTCATAGCCAGTGGAAAGTTACAGGGGCTGAATCTGAATATAAATCAGATGTAAATAACCCATTTATATAATACTTCTGTTGATGAGACAGGGGCCATTACATAATAATAATAATAATAATAATAATAATAATAATAATAATAATAATAATAATAATAATTATAATAATAATAATGATCATAATAATAATGATAATAATAATAATAATAATAATAATAATAATAATAATGATAATAATAGTAATAATAATAATAATAATAATAATAATAATAATAATAATAATAATAATAATAATAATAATAATAATAATAATAATTATAATAATAATAATGATCATAATAATAATGATAATAATAATAATAATAATAATAATAATAATAATAATGATAATAATAGTAATAATAATAATAATAATAATAGCTCGAGTATCCACTACCTTAAAATAAAACAAAATAAAATAACAAATATCAAAACCCACAGGTGATAATTTCTCCCGGGCAAACCTGAAATTTACCTGGATTTAATATACAGAGTAAGACAACAATAATCGTAACTTAACCTGAAATATTCCAGCTTTATAAAAAAAAAACTAATATACCTGATGTGTTGGTCATAAAACTAATTGCTATGTAAATTAAAGGTGCAGAATAGCAAGGGAGGAATGCCAAATACAATATATCAACTTGGAATCTCATTAAATACAACCCGGACATATTCTTTTACCTATTATCATACTAAAAACATATACTTTATATTTTTCTGGATTACGTTGGTATTACTGTCATATATATATACACTAGCGTATATTATTTTTTTGTGGAAGTTGGTAATACTATTGTGATGATTATGTATATATGTATATTTTGTATCGTAGTGGAGTAGTATGCATAATATAGTGGTAGGGATACATTTTATATATTTGAGATCTGGAAATTCGTTCTCGGGGATTCGTAAGTTGTAAGAGGTGGGAAGTCATCTGTTTATGGTCCAGTCTCAGTTCTGCTTGCGTGAGATTATCTTTGTTTTGAATTGCTGTGTGAGGGAGTTAATTTTGATGCTTACTAGAAAGAAAACAAAATAACTTAGTGTAATTTGTGTATTTAGGAAAAGATTAAAATATTTCTTACTTTAAAGGAAATATTAATCATCATTATTATTATTATTCGAAACTGTATCAAACCTTAATGAAATACTAAAGCGCCATCTGTGGGTACGACAAGGAGTTCGTTGTCTCGTCCCAGCAGTTCCGAGTTTCCCCAGCCTTGTTAGGACGCTGCAGCTCGTAACTGGATTATGTACAGCGAGACGACAACACACACACACACTTAATCTCTCGTGTTGTTAATTTGATTTGTTTAAGTTTTACACACATTAAGTATACGGTAATGCTGGTATATACAAACACACACACACAAACGCGTACTATAAACAAAACATTTAAACAAACAACATTATGATAAATATTAGTAGATTAGGTAAACACACACAGGTAGACATGAATAAACATTGATATTTATAATGTAGATAAACAAATGTGATTGTAATATACTGTATGTGGGTGTAGGTAGGATATACTCTCCCTACACCCTCTTATCATATACCGGGTGTAGTATGTGGGTGTATGGGTAGTACACTCTCTCCTCATATTCTTCCAAGTGTATTAGGTGTAACTGAGGATATGGGTGTAGGTTAATTATACTCACCTTCCCTCATATCCTAATAAGGTGTAAGGTGTAATTACCTAGTAGCTGTGTCTTAACTGTAACACCTCTCTATACACACACACACACACACACACACACACACACACACACACACACACACACACACAGAGCGAATACAATACCCTCATCCACTTCCGGGTCAGCGCACAGGTAAGGCGCCATTTCGTAATTAATTATTTACCTGTGCGTGATAAGTTACGACAGGTATCAACGTACCGTCGTGAGTTGGTAACCGAGACTGAGTGACGTGTAATCTTACTTTTGTCAACGGTAACAACGGTATGGTTTTGCTGTTTGTGTGTATGTATTGTATCAACGGTAACGGATTTTTGGGGAAAGTTTCTGTTGATATGAGTGTTGCTATGTTAACAGTAATGGATTTTTAAGGGTATTAATATACTGTGCCAACGGTAAAGGATTTAACGAGATTTTACTGTTGACACGAATTTATTATGCCAACGGTGATGGGGTGAGAGGTAATTTTACTGTTGCCATTAGTGTTATTTATGTGAACGGCAATGAACTGTCACATTGGCATATTTTTGTCAACGCCTGTTATCCCTGTCACGACAATAATAACGGGAGTGTGTAACAGGCCGTTGTACTGTTGTGTCAAGCTTCACCATTATTGTTATTAGTAATCTCATAATCATCATCACCATTTTACACCAACATCACCACTACCTACCAATACTATCACCACCAACCACCAAATACCACCATACCTTCAACCACTATCTCTACCATTACCAAAACTACTAACCATCACTACTGTCACCACCACCAACCACCACTACCACCACCATCACCTTCGACCCAGAGTTACTTAAAGAGTTTTCCTCGTGGGTGAGTTGGCTGACGTTCTTTAATGGGGGTCTTCTTATACCATTGTTTTTGTCTCTCTCTAACGACCCGTAGATAATCTCTCTCTCTCTCTCTCTCTCTCTCTCTCTCTCTCTCTCTCTCTCTCTCTCTCTCTCTCTCTCTCTCTCTCACCTGACAATACCTTCTCATAATCTCACTACCGAGGTCTCTAAGTCCTCGGTATCGCCTCATTGCCCTCGCCGCTCCTCCCTTGACTTCCTCTCGTTTAACTGGTCCCTTGTGAGCAGAGTTTGTGAGCATTGTGAGAGATTGTGAGTGTGTGGTAATTACAGTGATTTAATATTGTGAGTATTGTGTGAGATTGTGAGTGTGTGGTAATTACAGTGACTTAATATTGTGAGTATTATGTGAGATTGTGAGTGTGTGGTGATTCCAGTGACTTAATGTTTATGAATTTGTTTCTTGAATGATGAGGTGTGGATGAAAGGTGACGGGGTGGGTGAAGGTGACGAGGTGGGTGAAGGTGACGGGGTGGATGAGAGGTGACGGGGTGGATGAAAGGTGACGGGGTGGATGATAGGTGATGGGGTGGGTGAGAGGACTGGGTGGATGAGAGGACGGGGTGGATGAGAGGTGACGGGTGGATGAGAGGACGGGGTGGATGAGGGGTGGATGAGAGGTGACGTGGTGTGAGAGGTGACGGGTGGATGAAAGGATGGATGAGGTGACGGGTGGATGAGAGGTGACGGGGTGGATGAGAGGTGATGTGGAAATAAGATGGTTTTCATTTGTATATGATTAATGTTATTCAACTACCACAACCATCACAACCATCAACCACAACTACCACCCTCAACCACCAGCAACCACAATTAACCACCATTACTACCAATTACTCCACCATCTTGGCAGGATACTAGTGTTAAAGGAGAGAGAGAGAGA